TCCTTCAGCTGTACAGGGACTGAGCAGTGTTACAGAGACTGGATATTCTGGTACCAGAAGAAAGAAACAGAAACATTCAAAGTGATCTTTGATATTAACAGGAGTAACTGTAACATTGATAAAAGTTATTCCAGTCATCCTCAGTTAGATGATTTCTCAGCTGAGAGAAAGTCAAACGGCTGTAATTTGAAGATAAATTCAGTTAATCAGGTCCATTCAGCCTCCTACTACTGTGGCTGTTGGGTTTCTGGCTCCACGGTGATAAAAAGTGAGCTGAGGCTGAACAAAAAGCTCCAGCTGTAGAAACAGGAAGAGAGCAGGAAACAGTGAGTCTGAAGCCAAACATGCAGACAGATTGAAACAGAAACAGTTTCATCAAATCTGATGAAAACAGAATTTCAAAGTGTGAAGAAGACAAGAAGTTGGAAAGAAGCAGCTTATTGGACCTTTGATGACTTCTAGTCCACATGTTTTACACCTAAAGAGCAGCTCCCATTGCTTCCAGCTCACAGCTGAGAGGCCACATTGAAATGGAACCTGGCTCCAATTTGGCCCCAGCTCCTTCACTTTGACCCCGAAGATCTAAAGAGTCCAAAATCCTGCAGGACAGGAAGCAGCTGACAGATTTAGATCCAACATGTTTGTTCCAACTTCATTCAGCTCCAAGTTTCACAAGTTCAGCTTTTTACTAACTACAGACTTTTACTTTGAAAATCTGAACAAGTTCAGCTTTTTACTAACTAAAGACTTTTACTTTGAAAATCTGAACAAGTTCAGCTTTTTACTAACTACAGACTTTTACTTTGAAAATCTGAACAAGTTCAGCTTTTTACTAACTACAGACTTTTACTTTGAAAATCTGAACAAGTTCAGCTTTTTACTAACTACAGACTTTTACTTTGAAAATCTGAACAAGTTCAGCTTTTTACTAACTACAGACTTTTACTTTGAAAATCTGAACAGTTCATCTTTTTACTAACTACAGACTTTTACTTTGAAAATACTAACTACAGACTTTTACTTTGAAAATCTGAACAAGTTCAGCTTTTTACTAACTACAGACTTTTACTT